AAGTTACGCTGCACTTACATATTTTTCCGCACATTTCCAGCCAATAACTCAATGTCTAAAAGTCTTTCCTCTCTAAAAACACCACCTTGTACCTGGAAAGCAAGATTCAAGTTTTCTCTTTGCCTCCAGAGAGACTATTTTCCCACTTACTCCAGGGATACACTTTTCCACCTGGACTTCATTTCTGTTAACTATATTAACTCTCGTAAAATGGACTAAAATTATTTTTGCTGCTCACTTCTCAGTAAAAATTCCATTGCCATGTATCATGTCTAGCCTCCTTCGTTAAACTTATTAGCACCAAAGTGTCCAAGTTAAGCTCAAAGGGCAGAAGGCACACATGAGATCTGAAATGTCCATCAAGGAAGTTCAAATCTGTCCCTCCGAGACTGGTTGAGCAGCCAATTCAAATCTTTAACAGGAATTTGGGAGTTTTAGAGCCCCTGGAAGCCTCATCTGGATCTATTTTTCCAAAAGTAACACAGGACTTTCTTTGGTATTTGACCAAATGTGGTTTTTCATCTTGAGTGTAAGCAGGCGGTCTGGTGGCCTCTGGAATCATCCTGGAAACATTAGGTTAGAGCAGCTGCATCAGTTGCTGAAAGTCAGAATGGAAAAGTTGGGTTCCTCTTCCAGGAGGACTTAAACGTGGGCAAAGTCATTTCCCATTGTGTGCCTTCCTTAAATCCAGTTGTGTGGCATGGTGGATATACTTCAGACTGTGCAAGGGGTAGCCGGTTTTGCTGCTGTCAGGGCCTGTCCTTAAAAGGCTGAGGAGTGGGGAAAGGCTGGGCGGGAATGGGCTTCCTCTGTGGCTGAAGGGCCTCCGAAGTACTGGTGTATATGAGATCCGCCAGACACACTGTGAATGTGGGGATGATGTCCGGGTTTCCATGAAATGGGAATGCTTACTGTTGAAATTACCCTGGTATGAGATCATTTTTGGCAACTGAATAACCAAACCCCTTCAAAAGATAGCTCTACCATAGTCAAAATTTTGTTCTAATGGAAAGAGAATTACAGAGGCTTTGTGGGCCATAAATCTAAAAGTGAAGGTAAATCTAAAGCAAACAACTGCCTGAGATCATAGCAGGCAGGGAGGCAGGCTGGAACTAGGGCATGTCTGGAGAAGTCAGTTGCCTCAGGGTCGATCTGTACCTCTCTGACTGACCATTGTCCCATGGGTCATAATAAACAAACATTTTTGTTTAAGTAGTCTCCACACCCAGCATGGAGCCCTATGTGGGGCTTGAACTCATGACCCTGAGCTCAAGACCTGAGCTGAGGTCAAGAGTCAGACATTTAACCCACTGAGCCATCCAGGCACCGCAAGGGGCATTTTCTTAAGTGAAGTTAAGTGTTGTGTTCAGCTTGTCTCTGACTGAACAAGTTCTTGAGTTTTCATTTTACCTTATCAAGGTGGATGTTGCCATACCTACAGATACCATTTCTGGTTGAGATGCTTTTTAGAAGCGTATTTGTTTTTCCTAAAATAGGGATGTTTGTCCATTAAGAAAATACCGACTTAAGAAGCCTTCCTCTACCTGTGATTTTGCCAATCAACAAATCTGTGTTTTGGATCTTCAGTTAGGCAACACTTTGGGTTATAATCATTATCATTGTTATCAAACAGCAACTATTTGCTGTTTGTCCTATAGATATAATGCTAGGCCTGGCTGTGCACAGAATAAATCCATGCTCATTAAAGCATTCCAAACTGGGGGTGAGTACAGGATATACAAACAAAAATCTATGGGCCAAAAATGAGGGGGCAGTTGATTGTTCAGATTATAATGCCGAAAGATTTCAAAAGATATAATGGCCACTAAGAGTTGGCATATTCAAGGAAGACTACTCAGAGGTTATAATTCAACTGTATCAGTGTGTGTGGTATGTTTTTGTTTGGACATCGGGGCGTGGTGGTGATGGTGTGTGTGTGATTTTGGTGCACATGTGGGTATGAGTGTGTGTCTATGTATGAGTGTATGTATGTGCATGTGAGCATGTGTCAGTGTGCTGTAAGGAAGGCACACGGGATTGGAGCTGGCAAAGTATCTAACGTGTTCTGAGATTCATCAGCTCATCTGTGGGTGACAGAAGATGTGTCCAGGGTGTATGTATGACAAGAAATCTCTAAAGCTATATTCTAGGAGAAAACACTAGTCCTGAGAGGGCTGAGAAAATTAACAATGGTCAAATAAGTTTAGGAAATGCTGCAAACTAAATCACCCTTTTAAAGATGCAAGGGGCACCTGGGTGGCTCAGGTCATGATCTCGGGGTCCTGGGATTGAGCACTGTGTAGGGCTCCCTGCTCAGTGGGGTGTCTGCTTCGCCCTCTGCCCCTGTTCTTGCTCATGCTCACTCTTTCTCTCTCCCTTTTTCAAATAAATAAATAAATAAAATTTTTTTAAAAAATGAAGATGCAAAATCAAAGGTACATACAAATTTCTTGGCACATCAATTCACATCCTCGAGAAGAGATTTCCTCCCCTTCTTCACACATTTTGAAAGCACTGGTTTAGGGAGATACATAAGGCACCTATTGTTCAGTCCAAAAGGAGTAAATATTAACCTGCAGGTAATGGAATATGATCAAAGGCTCCCGAGCAGATGGGAAATGTGCACCAAGTGGTATTTTAGAAAAATTAATCTAGTAAGGTAGATTATGGAATAAGAAGGGGGAGGCTAGAACCAAGAGACTGTTCTGAATTCTCATTCTAAATCCATTCTCATACGACTTACAAAGTGTTGGGAATTTTTGTTTGCTTCCTTTTTAAAACTTTTCTTTAAAAAAAAAAAAAACTTTTCTTTTTAGCTGTGGACCAATTTCCTTAAATAAAGGATGCTTTCAAATCCCAATAAATAGAGATAAAAGTAAATGTGATTTGGATAATGAAGGAGGCAGAGCAAGGGGCTCTGAACAAGAGTGAGAAAAGGACCGATCTATAATATATGGGTACGGGGAGAGAATCAAGGACTAATCAGAAAGCGATGACTTCACAAGGGACCTAGGAAATAATATCCAAGTTGCAAAATGCGAAGTGGTTCATCAACTAAAGAGAACTGGAGTGATCTAAAAGTTGCTAAAACAGGATCTCATGGAGCTAAAAGAAGATCTGGCCCTCAAGCTCCAGTGGGGCTAAGGGAAGCAAAATGACACCTGACTTTGCCGGTATCAGCTTCAATTTTAAATTTACTCAAAAAATTGAGGGGGAAAGAAAGGAGTAGCCAGACTTGAAAACTATCTTCTTGGACCTGGCATTGTGAAAACTGATGAAGCTTGCCTGGTGGCAGTCCTCCAAGCCAGTGGCTGTGACTCGCTGTCAATGCCCTCCCCAAGAGTCTTCAATATTTCCTTCCTACCCAACATAATGGAGTACTGAACAAGTGAGTATATATACTTTGGGCCATATTATCCTCTCTGAGAAGAAATCTCTGTCCTCTTGGGATTAAAATTAGCCATGAGCCACTTCAGGTTTGATTTAGTTCTTACTATTCTCTCTTGACCCTCCCATTTTCCTGTCCCTCCTCACTGTCTTTCACTTCTCTTCTTTTCCTCCCCCTTTCCCCTTTTTCAGTGTAACATGTTAAATTCACCTGAAATTCTTTCCACATTGTCATAGATTCTCAGAAAAAAACAGATGTCAACAATCTGACAAGGTAATAATAAACATAGCAAATAATGATATGTATAGTATTGTTTTAGGCAGGTGGGTGTTTGTCTGTTTGTTGTCAAGGAGAATCAAGACTGTCGTAAGAGAACATTCTCGAGAGAGGAACCATTTCTGCAGTGGAGTCTGATTTGACTCCAGACAAGGTGAAATGAAGATGTGGGCTCTTGCCCAGGCAAAACTTTGCATTTCATGTTTCCTTTAAGCAGATACTTAAGATTTTTAACTGGGCACCTGTGAGGCAGAAAGAATGACCCTAATGGAGATTATGCAGATGGTCCAGTTTAGCCCTCTCCAGCTCAGTGTCCATTGTGTTTCCATAAACAGGGGCTTTAGTGGAATATGGAAAGGAAAAAGACATGCCTCAAATTCTTAAATTATGTGGCCAAATCCTTCCCCATTTAACTTGATTCAGGCCTATAATTTCCACTTTATTCTCTCCAAGACCTTCAAAAGAAACACCATATTAAGAAGAAATAAATCTTGTACCTTTGACATCAATCTAGGTTTCCCTTCCCAATAGTAATGAACTTAAACTATTTCTTTACATTTGTACATATTTTATTTTTCGGTTAAGTGCCTCTATGTGAGAAGTTTGAGTTCAGAAAGGTCTAATCTATTTTGCCTGATTAGCAAACCCTGAAATGACAACTAAACCCCATGTTACCTTAATATTGTAAAACACATTTATTAATGGCCTGAAGAAAAAACACATCAGGAAATGTCACTGTAGGTGGAATAATATTTTGAGAGCTTTAGGTTAGTGAAAACAAGTGATTATAAAAACATTTTGCTTCCATCTGTAAGTGAAGCAGTCATTATCTAAAACAATCCATCAACATTAACAAAAATTTGCAGCTTACTAAAATTATTTGATTTTATTAACAGTCACTTCTTTGGATATTTTTAAAATTAAATATAGTGATACATGCACACGCGTCCATTTTAATGTTTCCATTATTTTGTAATTCACAACAAAATAGTGATACTGCTAGGCTTTATGTGCATTATGATTCATCTAAGAGAAAAACCTGACTTTATTAAAGAAAACCCTATTACAGGTCAAATCCTACCAAAGCAAAATGTTTTGTTTAACAAAAGACATTAAGCCTCAGTGTATCAAATCATTACACGTGGTATCCAATACCACAAAATTCAAGAACACCAAATATCTGAATAGCCTCTTGAGATCCCTCCATGGGATTTGACCTGCCTTTTGAGTCTCTTTAATAACTGTATCCATCAGAGAATCTTTTTTTTTCCTGTAAACCTTGCCTTTAACAACAAAATAAAGAAATACAAATATTATCAAAAGCTAGATCACTTACCATAAATGCCGGTTGAGATGCAGGGAAATGCCTGTGAATAAACCACAAAAATAACAATAAATTTTAAAAGAACAACTCTGCCCAACTGGACATCTTCTATTTCAACATCTATTTGCTTGATAATGGGATGCCCTCTAGTCACATGCTCAGACCTCTGAAACCCCACTCAGCTGGAGTAGGGGACACTGTGGAAAATGGGCATATTTGATTAACTGAAAACTTCTTATCAGCAGCAATCATACCAGTTCATGAGAGCCAGCTGTCAAATTTCCAGGAATCTTGTGAATCAAGTGTTAAACAAAGTCATAATTAAGAAATTAAATCATATAAGCCTGCAATGAGAAGTTACATCTAAAACAAATATTTAGAAATCATCTCATCACCTCCTAATTATTTTGCCCACGTTTTACTATTGCTTCTGCTCTTGAGATGACTTATGTCTATTATACATTTACATAATATAAATGTTATATACATTTATGTAACATGTATGTTATATAACATATAAATATATATTAATTATAAATGTATGTATAATATAAATACTATGTAATGGTGTTGTTACCAAGCATCCTATCCCAGCTGGACATTAAGTGATATCATGTTAGTGGCTTAAAACCTGAAAATATCAATCAACGTTCATGTTGGACTATGCTTGAAATTGAAACCATAGGTTGCCTATAGACAGAAAATCTTTATAACATTTGCAAAAGTTTTTTGTAAGAATCAATCAGCTGCATAGAATCTATAATAAAGGGTATTGTATATTCTATTCTTATTTGTAAGTTGTGTGCTATACATTCTTTTTATCAGTAAAATTAAAAAATATATATACATATACTCATTTTTTTTAGAGTCAGTTTTTAAATATTTACAGAGGCACTACTGCTTAAACCATATACAATGGACTGAATGTTTGTGTCTTCCCAAATTGACATGTTGAAGCCCTAATGTGATGGTATCTGGAGGTGGGGTCTTCGGGAGTTGGTTAGGGGGAGGGTGGAGACCCCACGATAGGGTTCCAGTTCTTAGAAGAAGAAGAAGAGAGCTAGCACTCTGTCTTTTCCCCTCCTGAAGGTACAATGATAAGACAGCCATCTGCAAACCAGGAAAGCGGCCTTCACCAAATACCAGATCTGCAGGTACCGTGATCTCAGACGTCCCAGCCTCTAGAACTGTGAGAAAGGAATGTTGGTTGTTGAAGCCACTCAGTCCAGGGCAGTTTGTGAGAGCAGCCCAAACCGCCTAAGACCCCATATTTTACCCAGCAATGTGTAAAGAATATGACTGAAAGAGTCAAGGAACAAATGTGAATAGAAAGCTAGCTCTAGGGCGCCTGGGTGGCTCAGTTGGTTGAGCGACTGCCTTCGGCTCAGGTCATGATCCTGGAGTCCCGGGATCGAGTCCCGCATCGGGCTCCCTACTGTCAGCGGGGAGTCTGCTTCTCCCTCTGACCCTCCCCCCTCTCATGCTCCTTCTCTCTATCTCATTCTCTCTCTCTCAAATAAATAAATAAAATCTTTAAAAAAAAAAAGAAAGAAAGCTAGCTCTATATAAGGCTCTTTAACAGGGGAACGTGATCTGAGCATAGCAATGTCCTCTGCCAATGTACCTCTGTGTAAATTTAATCAAGTTGTTTCCATCTTTCCCGTCTTTTTATTTTGCAGCCGAAAACGAAGATGGTAACATTCACCATATAGAAATATGCCATAGAAATCGATGACGGAATTTTTAAAAAATGTGACTGTGCTATAGAACCCAAACGCTGCAGCTGGGGTTGACCGTAATACCCAACATTATTACTGAGCTCAATGATGATGGAATGTCTGTCTTTTTTTCTTTATATCATTGGGTTAAATGTGTACTACATTTTATTTTCCTTAACATTTTTATAGACTCCATGTTTATTCCCTTTACATGGATGTCCTATTTAAAAAGTCACAATTTATGTGATTTTGTTGTAGAAAGAGTAATAATGGACTCTGTTAAGCTCACCTATATGTCTGCAAAGTGATAGATTTCTTTTTTCTGTTTCTTTATTAGTAAATACTAATAAATAGGACAGTTTCTGAAATGGAATAGGAGCTACTTTTTAAGTGAATTAATAAATGAATTAATGAGTTCTTTTTTTTTTTTTTTGATTCCTTGGGTTCTGGAGGTGCCAGTAAGATGGTGAAGATTGTTCGTGAATGATTCAATACAGCCAAGGACACAGAACCATGAGGAGATAGCGTGAAGCAAATTCTCCTGGAAATACTTTAGTCTTTCTAGAGGTATTCACCAAGACCACTGACCGGCCTTTCTCTCTGTGTGAAAAGCAGCTCCAAGCTTACCGTAAGCAATTTGTTACTAATAGAAAGGGCTCAGAGGTCAGCAATGGCCAACTTAAAAATACAAATTAGAGAGGATTCAGGGTCATCCCTATCATTTTGGCCATGCTCACTCACTTTCTGCTGTGCCTTTTAAACAAAGTAGAGGGAAGTGAGTGTATAGTGCGTGACTCAGGACTTCCATGAGGGTGAACTGAGCACGTAAACCTCGCCCATCTTGTGTTGGTGACAGAGAGAGAGATTTGAGACCCGCTGCATCAAGCCATCTAGTGGAGCCCGAGAGATACCACGATGTTTTCGACAAGCAAGCCCACTTTAAACCCCACCTGGACATCTTTCCAGCTCACCTTGTTGGACACTTAACTGAACTTCTCTGGGCATCAGTTTCTTCCTTAGTAAATGGAAACCAAAGTGTCTGTGGGAGGTTTAGGAGGAATAAGGAGCACAGAACACTGACAGGTAGTAATATCTTGATCAAGCTCCACTTCAAGGGGAATTGTTGCCCTCCACTAGTCTTCGCACTATTGATATTTTGGGCCAGATAATTCTTTGTTGCTGGGGGCTGGGTGGTGCACTGTGAGGTGGTTGGCAGCATCACTGGACTCTATCCACTTGATGCCAATGGTCTCCCCCCAGTTGTGACAATAAAAAAAAGAAATGCCTCGACATTGTCAAATATCCACCTAAGAGTCCAAATCATCCCTGGAGGAGGACAACTGCCCTAGAATCTGGGGCCTAGACCTCAGCAGTTCTGTCAGCAGCCAGTCTCCAACTATCACTGTTTTCAAGGATTGCCTCAGATGCAAAGGGCTACTCCACTCAGGGTCATGCCTCTTCCCAGGATAGTCCACATCCAAAGACTAATTAATACAGAGTGAAAAGGCTTGGCTCATCTTAGCTTAATGCAATACAAACTGAAGGGCCCTACCAGCTCCAGAGCTCCTCTTTCCCTCTGCGCACTCCTGCTTCCCTCCCCTCTCTTCCCCAAGTGTGGATCCCAAGGGCCCGCCTAAATAAGCATCGTGCACCCAGGGCACACCTAAATAAGCATCGTGCACCCTAATCTCTGTCTCAGAGTCTGCCTCCTGGGGAACTGATCTAACTACCTTCTGCTTCCCTCTTAGGGCCAGTTATAGGAGTCTTTTTCCCATTAGATCTCACAGAAGAGAACATACTGAACAGTTAATGGCAACTTGCATTTGCCTCATCTCCCAGCAATATCTTGGAATCAATTATGCAACTTAGTAATTGAGTCTGAATGTGCCAACTGCCTTGTCTGTTTTAACAACGACAAATAGCTTCATCTGAAAATGCATCATTGCCTTGAATGTGAAGGCAAATGGTCGTGTAATGGAGGATGGCTTCAGTAATATTATTGCATTAATTCAAACAAAAAAGCAATGATAAAGCAGAGATGGAAATACAATATCATGGGAAAAGTTCACTTTATGTACAACAACTTTGCATGTAATTCATCCAAGCTAAATCTCCTCCGTTAATCACTTTTTATTGAGAGAGAGGGAGAGGGACAGAAGCAGGGAGGGAATGAGGAAGTGGGGGAGAGAGAGAAAAAAAGTGAGAGAGAGAGGGGTTGAGAAAGAAAGAGTGAGCAAGTGAGCTCAAGTAAGGGATTTTACAGCATACAGTCTGTGTTCTTTGCCATAATAAATTTTTGATAGTGTCACTAGAAGTGAGTAGCATGGGATTTCTTTATTTCAAAGTTGTATTTAGCATAACCACCTCCCACAAAAATCCTCTCCTGTGGAAGAATGGTAGATTGTACCAAAACCCAGGCCAATTAGCCTGGTTTGTTTCAAGTGCACATAACTCAGCAGTCACCTGTGGAACTCAGGGAATGACATCATCAGCCTAATTTGTAAGGCTCCATATTCTCCTTCCAGAAGCCCCAGGAGCAAAAAGTCTCCATTCTAATCAGGCCCCAGCATATAGCCATCAGAAACTTGCTTCATTGCGCTTGACTTTTAGGCTTATTTTTCCAAGTCAACATGCACTTGCTCTCTTGGGGGGAAAATAATCATTTGATTTGGAGAGTGAGAGAGGATTTTCCTTTTGTGAAATTATAGATTGAGCCACTAAATGGAAAATACTTCCTTAACCCAGCATGTTGGTTTCAAATACATTTGTAAAAACACTGAAATCCTTAGGGTTGTGGACTATGCCTCCCATCCTCTTGAATGTCTGTTTCCACTTCTTGATTTGAGGAAAAGGAAGGAAATACCCCACCACCTTCTTTGTCTTGATTCAAAGAGTGCCTCAAAACCAAGGCAATAAGCCTTAAGCCAACATCATAACCATCCCTTTCTTTTCCCTGACTCTTGATTCTTGGTTCATGCTTTCCTATAAAGTGGGAATTTCTTTCTCTCTTCCTTATCCACGTTCATTGCTATCTACCCATTGCTTATACAACAGCCTTGCCAGCTGGGTAGGACTGACTCCATCCTCAGCTGCATGGGAAGGTGTTGATTGACCTAAGTAAGCAGCACACATCCCCCTTAGCCACAAGGAGAGAGAGATGGAAAGTTCTGACATCAGTGAGCTGTTGGTGTAAATTAGCTGTAAAGTGCTCCCAGTCTTGAGAATCTTTCAATTGCTGAGCCAACACTTTCCTTCTTGTTTATTCAGTTTTAGTTAGATTTTCCATTATTTGCAAGCAACAGCATACTACCTGATACAA